GAGCACAGAACACTTGTGCAGCACCATGCACAGTGACATAGCTGTCCTCAAACCAGCGCCGCTAGTTGTAATCTCGGTGGTGCAAGGTAACAGCTGAAAGACAAGTTCCCTTTAAGCAGCAGTTATCCTCTAATGTTATTTTCTGGGCTTCTTGTGGGTACTAAGCTTTACAAACGAAATGTAAATACCATGACTTACAAGAGTGCTAGGGGAACAAAAGTTAAATCCAGCAGCAAGTATAATGCAGGACCAAGCTACAAGTGTAGAGCCATTTCTGTACTACAAGTTATAACAATATCTGCCTCCCCTGGGATTTGGAAATAAAAAAAGAAGGGTAAGGGGTTTTAAGAGGCTCAGAGGGAGTGTCACGGTGCATGTTTTGCTATCGCCTGCTAATCCTTTCTGAGAGTTTCCTAATCTGCCTTGTGAGATGTCAGAATTGAGTTTGAAAAGAGAGCACAAGATGCTGCAATGGTTATTGGAGTGAGGGTCTGTGCTAAAAGGATCAGGAGGTGCTGGCTGGAGGGGGCTGGGGAAAGGATAAAGCTGGAGGTCTAATCAAATCAGCTGGGAAAGCTGCAGTCTCTCAGCAGTAACCTTGCCAATCAGGGAGGAAAAGAAACATGCCTGCGCACACTAATCCCTGGGTGTCCTTCACCCCATCCGAATCATACGGCAACCCCCCAAAACACTATTGCATAGTAGCACAGTCACATTCAGACTTTCCCATCATCTCTGACTTCTAGGTGAGAGGCAAGAGCATCATGGGACAGAGATCAGCCGTTTTAAACGTAGCACATAAAATCATGAACACAACTGTAACCAATATTGACACATGGGGCATATTTATAAAGCAGTCAAAAATTCAGGGACACTCCACACCAGATGCATTGGGCAAGGCTGCCCAAGTCCCAGTGCATAGACAAAGCAATTTGCCTTGTGTCCCAGGATGTCCGTTCACACCACTGTGTTGAAAAAGGTAAAACATGTAGTATTTTTGTCAATACGGCGTGTTGCAACATGCTGCAGTGAATAGAAATGAATGAAATGCCAGTTTATGACAATTTAATAATGCTAAAAAGTATGATGCACTGTAATCAGCACATTGCACCACTTCCTTCACAGCGCACACATCAGCGGCCACACAGTAGTGCACACTGTTGGTGTGAATAGGCCCTCAATGGTAATGAATCAAACATTGCCATTTCAAGCATGCACCAAGATGTCTCATCGGCAAAGAATATTTGGTGAATGTCAGACTAACTGCTTTATAAATAGGACCCGTATAATGGGCGAAGTGACCGCTTTATAAGCTTGGAGTGCTGGTAAGTGTATTTTTACTGGCGTGACTAGTCTTACACCTGTAGGTCAGGCTTTAGCTGTATGCTGGGAAGGTACAGATGGGAGGTGGAGTGGTGTCCTTAGGGAGAGATATTTATGGTTATTGATCTGTGGTGAGAGCAGTGAGGAGGGAGGACTCTGCCCTCAATTAACTTATGAATCTGAATCCAATACAGCCGGAGCTGTGACCTAGTACCTCGCTCTGCCTGTGCTCATTACAGTTACTGAGACCTCTTTACCCCCTCCCGGACCTGACTGATAGCTGGCCTGTGACATCACTCACTCACTGCCAATACCAATTGACCAAACCACTATGACATCACGTATAAATTAACCTGCCAGCTGGACAATGGGGGGAACAATGTTAGTTTTAACATAAACGCTTTGTAAGAAGAATAACATTTCAATAGACATTCATGTGCACATATATTAAATACCAAAGGGCTACTGAGATCGTGTTTGCAAACCTCAAGTCTTGTAGGAGACTGGATTCTGTGGGTATAAAAAACACACGACTCACAGCTTTAAACGTTAAGCTCGGACCAAGACAAAAAACAGGGATTGATAATGGAGGGGTAGGAGTATTTCCCCCGACTCGCATCTTATGGCTGTGTTTAAGGGATACACGAAGTTATAAATCCCATTTTAGCCTTAATAATAATTCAAGCCTGCACAGCAAAAAGATAAATGCAGTCCTGTACATGGCTTGCATTTAATGGTAAATTACACCATCCAGCCTAAACAAAACCCGCACAGTGTTTATGTCAACTGTACATTAAAGTGACTGTCAGCTATTTATTTTAACTGGTAAAAGTCCTGCCTAAAGAGCAGGCACCTATTGCCCTTGTTAGCCAGATACGCCTCTACTGTGCACGCCTCTGAACTTGTTGGGTTCAATATTTCCATCTTTTGAGCTGCACCTGCAACTAAGTCAGACCCAGCTGTAGCCTTTGTAGCCTTTAGTAAGAAATCTTATTGACCAATATGGATGCTTCCATTAGATGGGTTGGGCAAATTGAGCAATCAATAATAAAGAGATACCTTTATGCCCTTTTGATTGGGTCACTGCAGAGGAAATCTCCACTTGCCTTACGATTAAAAATGATACATAAACTTGTTAAACAACCCGTTTTGTATTTTGCCTTTCTATTTCAGTATACACTCTAATTTTCTAAAAAAGGCTGCTTCCCTGTAACCGTGGCAAGAACAGTCTATAGCACACCCCAATAAATGTAATTTCCCGTTGAAAAGACTGACTCTGCTTTTCCTGGCAAATTAGCTCTTATTACAATAATTACAGATAATGACTCTTATCTGAATCATGTGATTATACCCCTTAGACCCTTCCACTTAGCACTAGGAAATAAAAAAAAAAGTGTCTAAAATACATGTTCAAGTTTCAGTAGGATGTAAAATGAGGGTTTGCTAAAATCCTAACAACATACTGTGAATAATCAACCTGGAGAGAAGAGGCTTTTCACAACCAAAATGGTGTTACACTTTAATAAGGTCACCAGCAGGCTTTTCCTTCAAAATCACAAGCCCGAGTGTTCTGATTGGCTACTGACATTTACTATTTAAGTTGCATGCTTTGTGCTTCTGTGCAAGGCAGAAATCTGTAGTACCCATCTATAGCATTGTACAGGGCGGTAAAGACAGAACAGCCCATGCATTTTCCTTAACCAGGCAATTAAATACCACACTAGAGCCCATTCTGCTAACTTTTTGAAAATCTGGGTCCATGGCTTTACCAGACAGAGTTAATTTCCCTCTCTGGCCTCTTCAAAGACCCAGTCCCTGCCTCTCATGTGTACCACTAGCCTCATAGGTTGGTCTGGGACACCTCTATGAAGGGGAGGAGACAACAAATTGCTTTACCTACATACTTGTATGTATTAATGTGTCAGCATCTCCCCCCACCCCCCATCTTTTTAAGCTTTATTATATAACAGATTAGGTAAGCAAAAGTCCTTTACGGAATACCTCAATACAAAAAGGAGCAATTTGGCCCTTGCAGTAGTGGGGTATCCCCACTGGAAGGAGAGATTTTTCTATACCTGGAGATAGGCTTTAAGACTTTTCAACCAAACAAAGTCTTTCCGTTGAAAAGCAAATGTTTGCTGTGACTCCCTGTAAATTATACAGTCATACAATTTATGAAGTTGAAAAATGTATATAAAGGGTTCTACTGTTATATAAAATTTCAGTCCAACCCGAAACTGTAAATGTGATCCAGTTATTTCATTATATAGGGAATGGAAATCTGTCCGGCAAGACCTGGAATCAGGAGAACCTCTGTGCTCTCAGAATGTCTGGGCTGCAGGTTGTTGTCAGTAATGAGATGGATTTGGCAATGGATTGAGCGCTCAATAATAATGTTGTTTGTGAGAATCTCTCCCCGCGGAGACGCTCACTCTGCTATTTATTATCTCTGGATTGTCTTCCTCTGAAAGCTTCAAGAAGACCCCCACCCTGCCACTTGTTTCATCCCCCATCGCTACAGAACAATCTATTTATAACCTCTTCTACCATCCAGATCTTGTTTGGCAAGGGGGCTGTATTTTAATGGGGTATTCTGTAAAACTGGTTCACAGGGTACTTCCCAACCCCCAAAACTTTCAGTGATGCCTGAAAAGGTTCCAGAACAAAGCTGCAGTGTAACAAAACAAAGCACTTAGGGCTTGGACTAAAACAGAGAAAAATCACTTAGCCAGCACAATGTCTTCACTAATCATATACTGCCTACCTTCTACCTGGATCAGGCACTCGAATTCCATCAATAAACAAGGACTACTTGTGTGGACTACAGACTGTTAGATAACCTAGTAGTTGCCTATGCAGCAGAATTATTATTTTTTTTCTCATGGGAATAAATATGCCTTCTGACATACTTTAAATGGGTAAGGCAAAACAAAAATTCATATTTTGGTGCTGCTTAGATTGTGGCGGTCTTATATGCCCACCAATTTCACACATCTCCTGTATAAACAAGCACATGATAGAATAGTATAGAACAGTGGAATAGACACCTCTTCATTCAGGTGTTTCGAATAAGCTTAAAGGAAATCTCCTGCAAACTTCCCACACTGATGTAAAATAAATGGGTCCTCATTGCCTGCAATCCAGCCTGTTATTAATAAACAGGGCCAAAAGGATATGTGCACAGTACTACTCTTGGGTAACGTGCAAATTCAGACCATTGTGGACCAAACCACAAATGGTCTGAATGCCAGCCAACCTTTTGAAGAACACAGGACCCCAGGTACATGGACGGTAATGTTTAGTGTTGCTCTTCATTTGAAAAACAATGACAGGACCCTTATAAAATTACTTATAACATTAGTAGACTAAAGTCCAACCACCATGATACAATGATTTCCATAGATCACCACTCCAGCTGTATGTCACAATATAGTATTAGGTTTCACCAGCAGATAGAGATGCATGAAAAATCTAAAGTTACAACTTACAGAAAGGGCCCATGCACACCACACGGCACGTTATTTTAATTTGTGTGCAAAAAATGAAAAACATCTTGCTTAATTTCAGCGCATGAGACATAAGGCAATTTGCTTTGCTCCTGGGTTGGGACTTCATTGGCCAATGTTGCCGGTGTGAACAACCCACAGAGGAACATAGACTAGACAGAAAATTCTTACCTGCATATTTATGTGAGCATTATGGAAGAGGAGTGTAGACACTAGCTCGGAGTGTCCTCTGTCACAGGACCAGTGGAGAAGGCAGCGACCCTGTAAAAGATACAAGCAAACACAGTTATACAGGACCAAAAAAATATGACTCACTATTGCCCATGTACACAGGCCCTCCAAGCCCAGGTGTCTAAAATAAGGATGTTTTGTACCCCATAACAAAGAATTCAACATTTCTTTTTCCCAACCTTCATTTTCCATAGGTGGTTTGTATCTGATCAAAATCTTTTTTTCAAGACACTGATGACTTGGTAAACAAGGCCATGTAATCAAGGAGGCAATGTACGGGTGTGAAGAGGACACGCTCCAAAAATAAGCCTGATAATCTTAGCAGAACATTTTCAATATTTTTTAGCTCCATCAAAAATTTCAGATTATCTTCAATTATAATACTCAATGCAATACCCATGGGATCAGCTGTTTGGCACCAACAATGCACAAAGTATATGCGTTGGACTTATTCTATAAAAATAGAGTAAAATAATAAAAAAAAAAATTTGATGTCCACCATAATCAGCTAGATCCAAATCTCACAGATTACAAGGAGTGTCAAACATTTTCCTTTTCGTTCACCTTTATTTAACATAATTCCCTTTATGGTACATTGTGCAAACTCTGTACTGTAGCTACAGAAAAACATTAGCTATTCATCTTACAACAGTGTTTTTCAGACTTTAGTCAGTCATGTTTCATGGTCAAATGATACCTTATATTCCAGTTTTCGGAGTTAAATTAATGACAGCTCTTCTCTCTGTCCCCTAAAAAGTATCTACTGGATGGACATCCTCCCCCGCATTATTTAGAAATTTCAAACAGTACTGATCTCTCTCCCCGCTGCCCTCCTTACAGAACTTGAAGATGGCTGTTTTAAATTTTAAAATTGTCTGGGGGCATAAAACTCTTTGTCTTAGCGTTTGCACGTTGATGTCACCCAAACATAGAGGTGGGGCTGATTTACCCGACTTTTTCTTGTGCCATAAATCTGCCCTCTTTACCTAAATCTTGGACTGGTTTCATTCTAGCAGTTCTAAGGTTGGTGTAGCATACAACGCCAATGCAACCCCTAACACCCTCTGGATCCCCCCCAGTTTTAGGCGCCCCTTGTCATCCCTCTCTTTCCTGTTGACTCCGGTTTTACATGCTTGGGATTCTTACCTTACCCGTTTCAATCTCTCCTCTTGGCCGGGTCCTCTCTTACCTATCTTTAATAACCCTCAAGTTCCTCCCGGCATACACTGTGCCTCCTTTCTAAATATGGAAAGCGCTCATTTGCTTCATGTGAGGCATGTTTTACACCCAGGGAGCTCCAACCTAAAGCCGAAGTTGACTACCTCAGCACACTCTACTGGGAAGCCCTGATTTGAAGCAATCAAATTGGCGGACCTTGTCCGTTCTTTTTAGCTGAGCTCACGTTTGATCAGACTTTTGACCTTCTTCGAAAATTTCTGTATTTGCATGTCTGGTGGAGCTGTGACAGAGTATCCCCCTTTTGGACTGCTGTGTTTCAGGCTTATTCTTCCATGCAATCTACCTTCCTTGATCCCTCCCCTCATACTGCCCTTCTTTCACTTCTACCAGGACTTATTAAGAGTATTAAAAAAGAAATTCTCAGATTTTGCTTATCTGCCGCCAGAGTATGCATATCTCGTTGCTGGAAAACATCTATGACACCGACTTTAGCATCCTGGGCAGGGGTTATGGATGACATGATGGAAATGGGGAGGCTAGTTGCGGAGGACACTGATCGTCTGGCCAGGCATAATAGAATCTGGGCGTGTTGGATACTTCACAAATACTCTGATGAGTTTCACTCTCTGCTGGGCACTTCCCACTCGGGTGCTAGCACTCCTTGAGAATGTCTGTCCAACCGATGGTGCCTTGTCTTGGCCACTAGCGGACCAATCAATTGATATGTGCTCATTTAGGCCCTCCTCTTTGTGTGTTATCCTTACCCAGTTGCGTTTCTCCCCCTTTTGCTTGCTTAACTAACATTGCTTATTTTATCCATGCCATGTCGGCTATTGTTTTACAGTGAAATATCTTCTGTTTCCAGATTAAGCCCTCCTTCTATTGAATTTCTATTGGATTTTTCTTTTCTATTTTTCTGCCTGTTGTCAGTGCTGTTTTGGTGATGTATCTTTGTTATGTTTTGGGTTATTTGTTTTTCCCATGTTACTGTTTATATTCTACAAAAATCTATAAAAATCTTTTTGACCAAAAAAAAGAAAAGGTTTCTGCAGATGGTCTCCTTGCACAAGCCAATCTCTTCTTTGAGAGATCAGGCAAACAAACAATCTAACAAGTACACCATGCCTCTCCAAAGTGGCCCCTCTAGCCCACTCTAGCTCCTAAATCACAAAAAGCAAAGTTTCATACCGTCTAATTTTTTATACCAATGCAATGTATCAACCAAAAAGAGAAGACCAATTCTCGCTATGTATTAACCAGAAAGAGAAGGCCATCTCCAACAGCGCAGGTTTCACACATTGGGAAACATAGCATGTGTCTTATTAATATTGTCCAGCAGCCAATCATCCTCACTATTAGAGGATCTGTGGAAGACATGGCCCTTCTTAGACTCTGCGCCCTCCGCACAGCCCTTTAGTTTCTTAGTTCCCTGTGTCCTACATTCCAGATATCCCTCCTGTCTGTGACTCCAACCTGCTCCGCAAGTCCCACAGCTCTCATGCCCTAGTGCCCCGGTCCGCAGGCCGTCACAAATATACCCGGTCCTTAAGGCAAACCTGTGTTTTGCTCATTTAGGAAAAAGCAATCTGTTTGCTTTAATGTCTTATATATTCCCAACAAAATCTTACTTTGTATTTGCTCCCCACTGATCCATTAAATGTCAGGAGCCATAGGAAATACCTGGTGCTTCTGGGTATGGAGGAACACTTGACTTAACCACCAGCTGGGCCAATTAGACTTGTCACATGAAGTCCATAGCCCTGGGTATGTCATGATTCCAGTAGTGACTTGAAGCAGAAAAGATTTAAAGCCCATCACCCAAATAACCTCACAAGTCTTTGTTGTTAGACCATGGGTAGGCATCCCTGCATGTATGGTCTAGATCAGGGTTAACCAAACTTCGGCTGTGGTTAACCTAGAAATCCCACTGAGGCATTGCAAGACTGACAGCCACAGGCATGACTCCCAGATGGAAAGGCATGATGGGATTTGCAGTTTCACCAAAGCTGGAGTGCTGAGGTTGCCTACCTCTGTTGTACATCAAACCAAACCTATGCAGGTACAAGGCTGATTTTCTCAAACATACATGGTTTAAGTATGCTGCAATCAGATGTAGTTGCCAAACCTGTTGTAGTTTTCAAATGATAAGAATATAGGCCAAAGTTAAATGCTAAAGATTGCAAATGTACATTATGAAACTATACTGTGAACATTCAATATAGTTATTAAAATACCTACAAAAACACTAATTTAAAGACATTTCACTGCAACTTCTACTTACTAGATTAATAGCAAGATTATATCACAAGCATGATTGAGCCGACACTATTTAGGTAAAATGACTTCAGATCACAAATGGATAAAATATGCAACCAGTGGGCTGCTTAATAGGAAAGTCTAGATCATATCACTAATACCCCAGGGAGATTCATATAAAATGGTAAGCAGACAGTAACCCCTCCCAATCCTCATTAATTCCCTGTGTCTCAGGCTATGAATTGATAATTGCATCCCATTCTGAAAAGAGAACATATGCAAGATCCACTGAAAGCAGAAGAATGAAGCAGATATGTCATAAAATAAGATATACTTTCAAAAAAAACCCACCCAAACAGTAAAATGCTTCAGTTACTAGTAAGGCCAATTATGTCATATAGGGGGAATACAGTGTAGGGCTCACTGATGTCTATATGTATGACTGTGGCATGACACTTTTTTTTAATGGGGAAAATACAATAAAACGTTTAAACCCAATTGATGTCCATGGAGGCTGTGACTGTGCTATGGTTAAAAAAGAAAAATCTTGAACATTTTTGCTCTGCAGCCCCCACGACCCAAACAAATAAGCTGCATTTAAAACGTTTACAATAAAAGATTTCACAAGAAATAACTATGGCCTCGGCTTTCAAGAGGGGTGGGTGATCCCACCTCCCCTCAATGCTTCCTCCCGGCCACTAGAAATCCAGCTAGGATGCATTTCTGCAATGGAGTGGAATAGATTCTGGTGGGATTTCAAATGCCCCGCTATCCCAGGACGCATTAGTATGGAAAAGGTGATGTGCATCCCAGAAGCAGGGATCAAGGTGAGTATATTTTGTGTTAAATCTTTCCTTTCAATGCTTTTGTTATTGCTAATATTGTTTTGGTGGTGGAGAGACTGGCAGGGATGCAAACCTTTAATCATGTAAAGCCGCGTTAAAGGGCTCATATCCATGAACTGTACTTCATGAAAATGCTCATGTTTAGTATGTACTAGTGTGCACTAGATTATTGCTTTCCTCTACTTAAAGTCACGTATCAATGCATACAACGCCCACATGCCAAAAAAGGTTAACCTACATAAAAAGTGCATTCAAACCAAGAGCCGGGCGTTCCTATTGCCTTTTTTTCTACCTGCTGTCAGGTCACTAGTAGGTGAGATTATGTCTCTTGTTGTGGACAGGTTTTCCTACCCGATGTACAAAAATGACTGTACATCTCCTATGCTCTTAACATCTCTACTACTACATGAACTGTCATGGAACATCAACAGCATGTATAGTTACTGCAACAACCAAATTTAGGACAAATCACACATGTGCCTGATGGTATGAGCACACCTCACCTGTTTCAGTAACAGGATTTATTTATCTGAATACCATTTGGAGAAGTTAGAAGGTTCCAATTGGGTCAGTTAGAAAACAATACCACACATTTATAAGATACCTTAAGGATCATATTAGCATTTATCAACGTAAGGCTGTCCTTTTAAATGCAGGATGGTCAGTGGCATCAACAGCAGAAGAAATATATTAAGCCACCTGACATTACCAGACTCTAGCTACTTAACACTTGGACCTGTAATGCCCAGTTATAAAATTGCTGTATATTTGGCAACTATTAATGCCAAAGTTGAACGCCAAAAGATATAGAAGGGTCTACTGTGCACCAAGAGAAAAGCTTGAAACAATTTTTTAAAATGACCAGAACCGTCCAAAATATCATGCAAAATGCACGCACTCACTCCCACTTAAAGGGACACTACACTCAGGAGTTAAAGTGAAATTAAAGTCTGTGACTACTGAAAACTACTGGAAAGAAGATGATCAGATCAAGAGTCATCACTTAAGGTAAGCCCTTAAAGCACAATGGGGGGAGCAATGTGATTTTAATGTGACTTTAAATCTTAAAAATACCTTCAAGTACCTTAACTATTAACAAAAATGTATCTTATTTGTGCATCATTCAGCTGTAGATACTCAAATCATCTCTGAATTGGTGCTAACACTGTCCTTCCTTCTGAAAGGTTGCTACTTTTGTTCCCCATGGTCCCTGTGTGTGTTGTAAAGTAGCCACTAATCCAAGCTTGCTCCTGTGATGGGCTACAATCTCAGTACAAATTAGTAAATGAAATGTGAGATTGTAGTCCATCACGGGAGTGAGCTTGGAGTGGTGGCTACTTAAATTACTACACACACAGGGACTGTGGGGAACAAAATGAGCCACCCTCCAGAAGGAAGGACAGTGTCAGCACATATTCAAAGATGATTTAGGGACCTACAGCGGAGTGATACACACAAAGATACGTTTTTGTTAATAGTTAAAAAGTACTTGAATGTATTTGTAAGCTTTAACTCCTGAGTTTAGTGTCACTTTAACACATAACCTCACGTTAAGGTGTGCTGTATTATTCTTTTAAATGGGGTGGCAATGCTGTGCACCTTAAAATAAATCTGTTGTGAGTAATTATTGCTGAAGTTTCATCTGCTTATATTTTGCCTTCCTGGTTCTTCTTCAACCATCAACATGCTAATGAAATTTTTAAATAAAACCTGTTTTCAATACATACCCTATTTTGGACTCCAGGATGTCATCACTGGATCTTGGTTTTTCTCTATGCAATGCAGGCAGATTATGGCTGGTGGAAGGGGCCAGCAGGATTATGTGCAACTGTGCAAGACTGAAGTTAGGCTGGAGTTTAGCTTCAATGGTGGCTGCTATTGCTGACCTTTTTTTGAGAATGCTAATCCCCTGGCCTTTGTTTTGATGCTTAGACTTTATTGCTGTCTGAATTGTTGGCATGGAACATGTTTATAGCTAAGGAGGTCTGACACTTTTCCGACATTCATTTACAGCATGTATATTCTAGGCATGCGTGCTGTGGTGCACTGCATCGCGGGTGTGTTGCTTGTTCCTGTAGTACGTCTTAGGTGTCACTTTAAACATATAGCACAGCAGATTGTGCATCGTGATAAAACATGCATGTTTCCAAACGTTACCACAATACACATGTCTGAATGGGCTCAAACTCATGACAACTGCTACTACATACCTCATCATCTGCCACATTCACATCAATCGCCCCTGTAGCCAGGGCCTGTGATATTCGTGAGATGTCATTCTCCCGGCAGTAGTCAAAAATGTCTTTATCTTCATCCCTGCGGGAACAAAGACTTGGTGAACATATGAATCTCAGCAATGGCACACATTTTGACACAAATGCACTAATGAGTAAAAACGTGCACTCTGAGCATTTTGTTTGGTTCATGAAAACCTAAAAAAAAAAAAGGGTCTGTGCAAATAGTAAACATTGAATGTATTCATTTAATAAAAAAATGAAAAAGGAGAGATTTAATCTGTTGATATGGTTAAAAAAAATTGATTTGGTTTTCAAAAAACATTGTGCCCATACACAAATGAGAATAAATGGGAGCTGAAACATTTAACAAGAGGCTGCAGACCTGTGGAAAGCTTTCTAAATTTTGATCCACTAAATTCCCAGTTTAAAACGAAACAGAAGAGAGAATAAAACATCTCTACTGCCACTGTCCACATAGCATGCACCTCCATGTTCCTGCACATTAACTCCCTCTATTCATCACACAAAAGCCTGAACCCCTGGGAGCACCAGTATGACAATATCAACCAGAGCAAGAGCCTGGACCCCCCCACCAACAAAGCCTCTCTAATGGCTCATGACTATGATGGGTTCACCATGGTTTAACCAGTCAACAGTATTGCTTGGTAGAAGGAGGTGGGGCAAGGCTCTTGACCAGGGAATGTGCCAGAGGGTTTGGGGCACCAAGGCACTTGAATAGGTACCTTGCATGCAGGCAGACACCAGGAGATGTTAGCTATAGGGTGACTAATGGTAGGGGAATATTTATTTAATTTAAGGGTCACTTGTAGTATATCAATTGGACCTTCTGACTTTAGCACATTTGCAATGTTTTCCAGAAGAATTAGTATCCAACTTACTCATTAGTTGCCTGGAGTTTAATCTCCATGAAATATGATGTTACAGTTAAGAAAAAAAAAAATCTTAAATAAGGAAAGTTCGAACTGATAAAGCCGGTGTTCTGTCGAAATCTCCGACCCGGCACAGAGAAAAGGAAGGGATGCGTGTAAAAGGTCCTCCTAACTTCCTCCTGGTACTCCAGGGACCAGAATCACATCACCTGTAATTATTTCTAGTCTTTAATCCGCCAATGCTCACCGCCTCTTAGGGACCAATAGAAGCAAAAGCTCATTAAGAGCAGCGTCCACAGTCCCTGGTAGCGCAGTGAGCTTTTAATTGCTTGGTGTGATTAAAGCAGTGGTGCGAGAGTGATCATTTTCATAAGAATGGGGTAATGTGGGCAAAGGGGGGTTGCCATCCCTGAGGTGCCCGGCATCGACACACTGGGCAATCATGCAATTATTCACACCAGCTGATCTGTTCCATGGTTGCATGAGCACAGTGCTGAACACATTGCAGGAGGTGGGGGAGAAGCAGTCTTAGGGGATGATGGGGCACGCTCTTAGGAGCCAACTGACGTAGCTGGGCTATGTGGTTCAGCAGGACTTCAGACTCCTTATCTAGTAATGCTACTAAAAAAGGACAGAACTGCAGATGATTTCATACAGACTTCAATCTAAGCTGGCAACAGACCAATCTATCTTCTATCAACAAAAAAAGATCTTTTAGGTCAGACATGTCAAACTGGTGTTTTGTGGGCCACTTGTGGCCCTCAGCCAGTTTAAAGGATGTCTTTTTTTTTTTTTTTTATATATATATATAACTCTTCATGATGATGCTTTCTGTCACCACTTACAGTTAGGTGACATAACATCACACAAGCTGCAACAATCTAAATTACATTTTTAAACATTTCAAACTATTTTTTAATCGTGACTTTATAAAGAATAAGCAAAGACATGCTGGTAGGTTAATTGGCTCCTCTCTAAATTGGCCCTCTATGTATGCATGTGAGATAGGGACCTTAGATTGTAAGCTCCTCGAGGGTAGGGACTGATGTGAAATGTGCAACTATGTAAAGTGCTGTGTAAATTGTCGGCGCTATATAAATACCTGTAATAAATAAAATAAATAAGTGTTGTAAGGGCCTGTTCACACCAGCAGGCACGCGTTATGGTATGCATAATGCAGCCATGCTGGTATGTGTTTGCATGCGCACTATGATGCTTTTTTGCAATGCAGCACAGTTTTATCTTTTTTCACTTCATTAAAAGTTTAAAAAAAATGATTTCACTCAATGCACAAAAGCGCTTGTAATGGTTTTTGTGCATTGCATTTAAAAAAAATGCAGACACTGCATTTTTATGCAACACATGTCAATGCACCTGTATGGTGTGAAAAGGGCACATCGAGAACAAATGCTTTCTCAGTGTCATTGCCTTGATCAACACAGCTCAAGGTATGAAAGAATGAGGCACCAGCACACCAAGGGCCACTTCATGGTTCCATCTTCATTTGACATCAGATGAACATGGCATCGCGTACAAATCTGACGTCAAATAAAGACCGATCAATAAAGTCGATGTTGGTGTGCTGGCACGAACAGTGTTTTAAAGCAGAAGTAAAGCTTGGTCTGAAAAAAAATGTTGAAAGTTTATAGCAGTAGAGACTGCAAATCTTTTCTTCCAAAAAAGCTCCTACCTGCTTGTCAGCATTTTTTCTTTCTTCTATGCAGAGCCACACATTCGCAGCTCAGTGCACAGGCTTGGAATGCTGAGCTGAACTTACACCTGTGCGCATGCCCAGGGGTTACATCATGCTGGCCGGCCAATCAAGAGGCCGAAGACGCCATACGTGGAAGACGACCAGGAGAAGATGGCAGTGCTGGCCACTGATGGGAAAGAGGACAGTGCTGCACTGGAGGGGATCATTTTACAAGGTCAGCCATAATGTGGTGTGCATATTAGCACATTATGACAAACAACCCTGCAACTTCTTTTTTTTCTACATCTTCTTTACTGCCACTTTAACCATGCATTCCTCAGAAGAACTAATGTGGACCTTTTTGGGATCTCTTATTCAACTCTGGCACTTATTTTCTTTTTAATATGCCATGCCTCATAATGGATTACCGATTTTAAATAGATGGATCCTAATCCATTAGAAGCCACTTTAACCACCCATCTTGGCACTACTACCAACAGTCAGAATGGGTGCCATCAGCTTAAGAGACATGCTAGTTTATGCAATATGGCACAGAGCAGTGTGCAAAAATCACCAACCTCACTGAAATAAAAACAGATTGCTATGGGTTACGGCACTTTCACCATCATTTATGCCCTTTGGACTGCTTTACTGAACAGGTCCAAAGGCTGCCACACGTCTTTACACCAATAAAAATCCATTTGTCATTACTATAACGGAGTTGTGATCTGTGCTCATATGTAATGGTTCTCCATTAATAAAGCTCTGCATACTCCATTGGTCCTTAGTCACATAAACCACAACTTAGTTGTATGTTCCAGTGCGTGGCCAGTATAATTTCTGCTAGTCTGTGCACATCTCTGTAAAAGCAAAGGCCTCACTGCCTGGCCACGCAGACTGACCTATGATACTTAATGCCAAAACAGTCCATTTATCTAGAAGAGTAACTAATCAATTGCAGAGCCCATCAATCATCCCTGGTGGAACTAGTCGGGCCTGAGCAGAGAGGAGAGGACAGATGGCTGCCCGAGAGAGAAGGATTAATTCAATTCTGATAGATTACTGCAAAGCCTCATGGAACAGAAAAGAGGGGGGGACGAGAGGCACAGTGGAATGTGGGAGACCTGTTATGTGAACAGAATGAAAGTAGTGTAAAATGCTCACAGGGGAGATCACAAGATGAGTTTGCACATTCAGAAAAAGAAATGATAAAAAGAATAGGAGAGGAACTTCCCTTCAATTACCTAAGTGTTTCCGGCACCTGGTAAAGACAGCTGACCACTCGTCCACCAAAGCTCGACTTGTGCTCTTCAACAGGATCCTCAAACGACTGTGAAAAACAGAGATATTGGGAACATCAAATTCAAGAAAACAAACTATAGAAACTTAAACATGCTGCTTCTGCCAGACAAAAAATACTGCCACAGTTCTGAAGTCAACTTGAAGGATAAGTCTGCTTTAAAGCAAAGTGCAATTATCCTTTAGGTCCTTTAAGGTGACATCATGGCTTCCCTTCTCTGGTATGCACAGATGAGTATTTACCGATTACACCAGACTCAGCCTCCTTTGCTTGTTTACATCCTGCGATGCATGTCTTCTTTGGGCTGTGCCAGTGCAGTACCATCCTCATTGACTTCTATGGGACTTGCCACCCAGCCAGGAGACAGAGGTAGATAAGCCCCACAAAAGTTAATGGGGATTTACTGTGCAGGCGCAGCCAAGAAAAGAAGATGTCCAACCACTACAAGGGTTGGGCTTCAATACCAGATGCACCAATGCTACAAGTTTCCCAAAGCATTATGGGTGTTCTAAATAGTGAGAAAAGCAGAAACAGTTTGCCTTCCAACCCTTTCTGGCTGAAACTCTGCATGGGCTCACCAAACAGGCAGGTGGCACTCCTCTGACTCATTTACTTGTGTTTGTAAATTTGAGCCTGAGCTTTTGAGCTCTATAAAACAGAGTTCAACAGAGCATTATGAAAAAAAAAGATTTACCACGGGTTTAGGGTGTCAAATTGCATTACAAAAAACGTTTTATTTAACAAAAAACGGATGAACTTATGTAATTGATCCCATTTATTCTGCTAAATATTACCATCAAATATGCCATTGAAACCGTACCGTTACACTGGTTTAAAAAGTAAAAAAAAATAACTGTTGATCCTCCCAGAAATATTGTGAGCTGATAACATCTTGTGCTTGCTGCCTGTGTGGACTATGATAAGTTGCAATGTTGTTAGTTTTGAGGACTACAGAACCACACTATGTTATTGACAATAAGCGTAGGATAGAGTTCTGTAGTACAATCCTGTTTCTGCTGTCCTGATTTACAGAATGGTAACGGAGCATCATCATCCTAGGACTAGTAGTGTGTTACTGGCAGAATCACCAGGTAAAAAAAAAAGAAAGACAATTGAGTTAAAAAAACAACTAAATGCAGACAGTACGTCTAAGGACACTGTCATTTATTACATTTTTGGATTTAGATTCACTTTGGAATGTTCTCACTTCTCTCAGAATATGGCATAAACAAGTGGAAAAAATGTCCAGTTAAGCTTAAAGTGACACTAAACTCAGGAGTTAAACCTTGATTTTCACTCATCCTCAAAGTTCGGGCCGACAAGTGTGACAATGAAACTGTCACACGTCGGCTCTATAGTTTGGGAAGTGAGCGAACACATTTTGTCGCTCGCTCGCTTTCTGATCATCTCCCTGCAGAGAGTGGTGACTGTCAGTCACGGCTCCCCGCAGGGATTAACACTCCCTCCCCGCTCCGATCCTCTAGCGCTGACTGGAGGGACAGACGGGAGAAGGGGTGGGCACAGCTGGCTCTGCCTCTAGATAGGCAGAGCCAGCTGTCACTCACGCAGCTGGGTGGATCTCGACAGTATTGTCGGGATCTGTCCAGGCTGCGGTACTCTCAGTATATAGTGAACAATAGCCTGCTATATACTGAGCTTTGGGTCACGGGAGGAAGTTAGTATATGTCCTCCCGTGATCCTTAAGAGAACTATGGGATAAAACGGTTAACCCCATAGTTCTCTTTTAATAGTTAAGGTACTTAAATTGATTTTTAAGATCACTGAGTTTAGTGTCATTTTAATAAATAAGTAAAGTCGATGTGACCATAATTTCCCACAAAACATTAGCCAAGTAGTAATGACAATCATTCATAAACAGGCCCTTTACTATTAAATAGCATCTCTATATATCTTGAAAAACAGAATCTTCTTCTCCTAAAGCGTCTTGTTCAGAAGCCCATCTGGCACCAGAAATGCGGCTTACATTTGGAGGTTTACAATGCTTGGCTATTAGAAACGAAGTTATGTTTCCACCAGAGTTCTCTTTTAAGGTACCCAAATAATGAAAAGCTACAGGACTCCAATCCCGCACGTTCCTCAAAACACTAAAAACATCAGCCTTGAGCCAGGAATTGCAAAGTACCAGGTTTAAAACATACACATTTCCAGTGACAGCCAAAGCTGTATTTCAAGTGTCCATCTGCAGCAGAAAGAGTAATAAATAACACTGTAGAGCCGTAAATTACCAATGAGCAGGGCATTAAAAGGCAGCAGGCAGGTAAACATGAACCAGCAAAGTACGGGAGGAAGATTTCCAGGATGCATATATTATACATGCATCTCTCACCGTTTATAAATGTGTAGCTTTCCTACAGTTTAAGGCACCGTAATATCAACCACTCTAAAAATAACATTTAAAATGCAAACAAATCCATTATTTTTCATGCAATTGTGTTTTTTTAATTCATTAAGGGCCCATTCACACCTGTGCATTGGGTTAGCACACTCTAAATGCATGTTTTACCTTGCCTGAAACACAGAACCGCGAACACTGCGGTGCGCGGCGTTGACATTCATTTTGAATAGCCCTCCAAAGCACACAGGTGTGAATGATCTCTGCATCAAGAAAAGCTTGGCATTAATTGTGGCACATGCAAAATAAGCTTCTGACCACAATGCAAAGGTGTTACCCAGCCCCAAGCGGTTTTCATAGTTGTAGCCAAAAGGCAGCTACCCCATTTCAAACCCCTCAAAATTGGGGTTCGCACTCTATAGCTAGCTAGTACTTCCTTTAGCTGGCTGAGAGATGAATAGTGTGTATAGTTTTACCTGCAGTTGGTGACAGGGGCTCTTTAAATACAGTGTTTTGCAAAAAATATGCACACTGTTTGGACTTTTGCACCGTTATAACATGGACTTAACATGGCTTTAAGTGGGGTGTAACTGGTCTACACAAAATAGTCCATAATATCTAAGTGGGGGGGAAACAACAAAATGTAAATTGTTTAAAATTATTTACAAACAATAAAGTAAAATGTCTTGATTGCAAAAGTATTTACCACCTTTGTTGTGAAACTTCTAAATAAGATCCACACCAACCACTTTCATATAACTAGTTGAAGGCCACCTGTGTACCATTAAGGCTCCATTCACAGCGGGGAGGTTCGGCCGCACGGATCCGCCGACATGAACAATCCCATACATTGCTATGGGGGCCGTTCATGCGACCGCGCGGGTCCGATCGATCCGAACCGCCTCCCGTCCAAACTGCTCCCGCCACTATTTTTGTCGTGCTGATCAGTGCGGTTTCCATACAGGTTTCAATGGAACCACGCTGATCAGCATGGTTGTGGGCGTTTTTAAATGTGTTTCCGCGCTGAAATGCAATTAAAAACTCGCCAAACCTCCCTTGCGAGAACAGCGTGGTAGCCGCGCTGATCCACAACCGCCCTGGTGTGAATGGTCTCTAAAGAAAAATGAATCAAAAGCCATTTGTAGTTTGCCAAGAAGATACTGTGAATATATGGAGAATGGTTCTCGGGGAACAAAATGTAAGTTTCTGACCCTCACGCAGAAAACTCTGAGGAGAATTTATCAAAACCGGAGCAGACAAAATCTGGATCAACCAACCAATCCGCTTCTCTCTTCAGTTTGTTTAGTTAAGACTTAAAAATGAGAGAGAGGCGCTGATTGGTTGGCATGTACAGCTGCTCCAGATTTTGTCTGCCCAGTTTTGATAAATTCCCCTCTGTGTGTGTGCAAGCCAACAGTGCTTATCCTCTGGAGGAGGTGAAGCATTGTGGTGGCTCCATGATGTTGTGGAGATACGGTTGCTTGACAGGGACTAGGAAACTGATTGGCTCCATCTTGCCCTCGATTCTAAACACAGGACTAGAGGAAAATTTGTTTTTATCTGCTACAGACCTGAGACTAAAAGGTGCCCATACACCACGAATGGTCTTTTGAATGACAATCAGTTGATGGGAACCCAATTATTTTTTTTTTACTGTATTCCTGGCTGAATTTTCTCGAAGGGTGAGGCTGAAAAACTTTTTTTTGAATCATACGAATATCGATGCATTAGTGGCGTTTTCGTACGGAAAAATAAAAATCGCAACATGAACACTACACACGCGCAAATGAAAATCCGTAAATTTCTGTGGATCGACGAAATTTGGCGAGTTAATAAATGCTAACCTACGATTATTGAAACGACTTGGTCTGTGCTTGATGGGCTATTTGAGCTAGAATGGAAAGACAGTTCTTGGCAGCAACGAAAAATCCCGAAAGAAAAGTGTATGGCCAGCTTAAGGCTTTATTCACACCGGATATTAAAGGTGCATTTTAAGATTCCTGCGGCAGGATTCCCTAAAATGCAGTTTAGAAGTGGCCAGTCACCCGTTCAAGTTAGTGGTCGGGTAATAGGGGCCGCATTTGAAAGCAGTCCGCTGCCAATCGTAATCTCTATGATTAAGCCCATGATTGGGTAAAACACGTCAAATAGGGGCGGACCTTGGGCTGGACACAGTGATATCGGTTGATCTTCAATTCACTTTTTCAGCCGTATATGGTGTGTTGCCGGATCTCTTTTGCTTTGACTGCCTGTGGATTTGGAGTGAGGTGATCGTCGACCACCCCGTCTCTATGCCCCTGTCAAGCTGTAAAACAGCAGTGTGCCTACTTTGTGCTCTACTGCAATTTAACTCTCTACAAAAATAAAATAAAATAACCTTTCTGGGTGGAACTAGTCTGAATTGGCAGTGCCGTAGTTTCAAACATTCGGGCCCTGGTTCAAGATAGAACCTCATGAGCCCAGGCTCCTACCTGCTACGGAATGCACCCAACCCCTAAAAAGACTCTCCACTAGGGCTGCAACTCACGATTATTTTCATAAATCGATTAGTTGGCTGAATATTACAGTGTGTTACAAAATTTACTTCAGAATAAAACTGCATGCGCAGTTTTTTGCAATCACACTGTACTGGAAGGCACGATATTGCGGTACCGTGTGTTCCGGTGTGGGCGAGAGG